TCCAGAAGACTAACTTATCAAATGACTGCCACAAAGTATCAGTAGATACACCACTCTGTATGACATCACTGACTCATTCGAAACCTAATGTCATACTTTTCAAGACTCCGTGATCACGGAGATTTACTATAATTATGCAATTTGTATTGACCTCATTTCATCTTCTGAGCTGTGGAAATAATCCAAACAAAGCCTTAGGTTGAAATTAAAATGTAAATATGATAAAATGGTAAATTATATGTTACATATATTTTACTACCATTAAGAAAAAAATTTTATGTAAATATGAATACATTTCTGGAATTAAGCAGTCTCACAATCTCTTTTCTTTTTTCCCCACATTTAAGCAATAACCGTCATCTTTTCAATGAGGTCAAAACATGGAAGGAGAGAACCCTTACAAGAGAGGCTCTCAAAGAAGCGACTTGTGCGAGTTCTCCCAAGTCTCCTAAGGTGACTGGACCAGCTTCTAAGAAGAGACAATGTACGCCTTCTCAGTGCAAGGAACAGGATTTACAAGATCCTGTGCCAAAGGAATCACCAAAATCTTGGTTTTTTGGTAGCCGATCAAAGTCTTTTCCAGCACCTCATCCAGTTTGCTATTTTGATAACTCAAGTTTAGGCCTCTGCTCAGGTGGGTAAATATCCTGGTTACTTGGAGATCGGGGGTAACGGTTGGAATTAATCTGTAACACGTGGCCCCAAAGGGCAGGTGTAGACAAGAGAAGACGTCGTGGAGAAGCTACAGCACACAGACCTCGTCTGCTCTCTCTGTGAGAAGCTTCTCCACAGCCCAGCCCTGAAGTGGAATCCCCTTTTACCCCAAGGGAAGTCTCATTCTGCCTGCTAAACCCTCAGCTTTTCCCTTGGATAGACAAGCAGCTCTCTCAAGGACAGACACTAACTACCCTATAAACAAAACTACTTTTACTGAAAAAGACTTTCTTATCAATTCAACAGGCCAGTATTTCCAATAGCATCATATTTATTTTACACAAGCCAGATCATAGGCTTGTATCATTTACTTACTAATTAATTCAATCAACAGAATTTTTTGGTCTCCAACTACATATCACATATTGGACCCTGATGGTACTTTGATAAGCAAAACCAGACATGGCCCCTGCCCTCCTAGAGCTCACAGTCTAGTAGGTATAGATAGTGATCAAGTAGTCAAAAAAAGCACAGTTCTAGAGTGCAAAAGACTATGAGGCTTAGAATAGGTTTTGTTTTAGGAATATAAGGAAGTCTTCCTTGAAGAAGCGAACTGAGATCTAAGAGGTTAATATGAGTTAGCTTAACAAAGGAGAGGGGAAGGCCTTTCAGGCAGATAGAACAGTGTCGGCCCAGCGTAGGAGGGATCATAACCAGGGGAAGAGCTGGAAGAATTACGTGTGGCCAGAGCACAGCGCCCACAGGCTTCTGTGGGTGAAGTCAGGGAAGCCAGAGAGAGAAGAGCCGGATGTGCAGGACTTTGTAGGTTGTATAGAGAAATTTTCACTTCATCCTGAAAGCACGCTAGAGGAGCCTTTGGAAGATGTTAAAGAACAGCAAGGGAACATAATGGGGTATAAATGTGGAAACATCACCTCAGCTGTGAGGTAACCAACAAATAACAGGAGCACGAGTTGATGACCGTTGTCTGAGCAAGAGTGACAAAGCGTGGACTGGGGCAGGCACAGTGGAGACGGAGAGAAGTGGACAGATGGGGGAGACTAGGAGTCAAGTCAGCAGTCTGGGCGCCTGATCGATGGAGCAGGGTGCTGTCAGGGGCCCCCAGCTCTACGGGGCGCTGTGCACAGAGGTGGGGGCGTTGCAAGAGAAGCTCTGTGATGCTGCGTTTCTCACAGGCTCTCTCACCACACGGCATCTATCCTGTGCTGGTGTGCGCGGCCAGAGCCCTCTGTGTCAGTGCACCTGCCTGTCAGAAATTCCCGATTGTGCAGTCAGAGGGACAAAGCAACTGGCCTGTACCCTGCGGAGGCAGCTGCCCGGTGATCTGGAGCCATGAGCAGAGGTGGCTCTCCATGAGAGCTCTGCTTGGGGACGAAGAAGGAATCAGTCCCTTCTCATCCCCTGCACATCGAGATTAGATCAAGTCGCAGTCTGAGAGTGCTCTTGGGGATACGGGAAAGCACGCAACAATTTGGAAAAATTTGTGACCTATTCACTTCACTGAATATCGTTTAACAAACATGTAAGGACTTCCGTTAGCTAGCACTTACATGGAGCTTCTAGTGTGTACACACACGCACACACACTCTATTTTAGAAGAGTTTGGTAAACTGAGAAGGTTTTATAATCACCTTTGACTTTACCTGAAAGTGCCAGAAGCACGTACATGATCTGAATTAATCCAACCACAAATACAAATGCTTAATTCATTTTATCAATGTTTGGATCTCTCTGGTACTGTTTTTAAGTGAAATAAGTAAAGGAGTAGTCTAGAGGATTATATAAATCAAAAACTGACCAACTCAGAATTCAAGGACATAGTCCCTAAAATATCAGTCTAAAAAAATTTTAATGTCAGTTTTTAATTTTAATTATAAAAGGTAACTTAAGATACTTGGTAAGACCAATTATGCTAAATTTACTTTTATGAATATAATAATTTGAAAATAAATATTGTTTATAAAGAAATAGATGTAGCTGTAGTGCTTTTTAAAGGCTCAAAGGAAGTTTTCCAAAGATGACTAAATATTCTGTAAAACACAAACTATTTGTGTAGCACACCATCTTTTTTTCCTAAAAGTAGGGTAAAAGAAAATCAAACTCAATTAATTCATGTTTCATTCACTTTGAATCTCAAGTTGATGAGTTCCAAATAAGACTTTATTACTTCTCGGTTTTATGTGCAACAGGGTTTTCTTAACAATTCATTTTGTCAGAAAATGGGGAATAAACTTCTCCAACTCTGCTGAAGTGAAATATACATTTTTAATGACCAAACCTGAGGAAGTTAATGACCACGTTGCCATTTTTCACTCTTCACGTCTCTACTGTCTTAACATCCTTTCCAATTCCAGTCGTCTTTGGTTTTTGTGTATTTTTTAGGAGATGACTTTTGTTTTTTATTTTTTTCTCAGAAGAACAAGCTGCTGGAGCAGAGCGAGTGGATCCTCAGCCGGGCCCCTGGCGCACGCCCTCAGGAAGAGCTGTGCCCGAGTGCAAGACTCAGTAGACTCCTCTCCCGCCACTTCCCTGGGGCCTGGCGTCCCTTGTTTGGAAACGACTGTATTTGTTACTTTGTTTGTCTGTCCCTGGCAATGATGTCACAGTCTAACTTAATTTAAATTCAGTTTTCACTTTGCCACTAGAGTTAGAAGACGAAGGAATAGGAAATTAATGCATTCCAGTAATTTAGAATGGTGACAGCAATACTTTCTTCCTGAATGTGGTAAAACTTGAGAAGCTGAATTGTTTTCTTTATTTATATATTTTGTAAAGAATAAAGTTGTTGAAGGAAATTTCCAGTCTCTGTGTGTATATTTCATTAATGTAAAGTTATCCACATGTGACTTACATAATACATAAATTAATATACAGCATCATTTAACAAAATTATAAACTCCTTTTTTAATACTTTGCACATTCAGTAAATGTTTAATTAGTAGCTCCAGTAACAACTCCACATAAGGTTAGTTAATATTTCTCGGTGGGGTACTCAGGCTGTATTTGGCTCTCCTCTCTCATTTGTTGACTGAATTTTGCTGTGAAAATATACACGCCGGGCCGGCCCTGTGGCTTAGCGGTTAAGTGCGTGCTCTCTGATGCTGGCGGCCCGGGTTGGGATCCCGGGCGCACACCGACGCACCGCTTCTCCGGCCACGCTGAGGCCGTGTCCCACATACAGCAACTAGAAAGCTGTGCAACTATGACATACAACTATCTACTGGGGCTTTGGGGCGAAAATAAATAAATAAATCTTTAAAAAAAAAAATATACACGCCTTCTGGATTTAAGTTGTTAAAGGATCACAGGTGCTGGGACCTCTCCAGTTTCTAGTCTTAATCTTCCTTTGCTGTAACAACTGCAAGACGTCTTTGTCTCTTTTCTCTTGCCCACCCACCCCATGCCCTGTACCAGCACCCTCACTTGGTTGGCTTGTTACTTGACTTTATGCTCTATTGTACTTCATTCCCGGCTGGAGGAACCTCATCGATCATTTATTCTACCCTTTCATTTTAGATATGAGCAGCCAGCACCGGTATCTAGCAAAGTAACATTTCCTAACCCTGGGGTCCCCACAGATATATAAAGCATCTGTGGATGGCTTCACAGGGTCTGTAAAACCCCTGAAATTTTATCTTAACTTTTGTGTGTGGATTCCTTTTTCTAGGATACTAGGGTCCATGCTTTCTTTTAACATACTCTCCGAGGGGTCCGTTACCCTACAAGACGTTAAGAGCTACAGTTTTAGAGAGTATCTGATACTACTTTTATATCATATGACTTTGAAAAGCCACATAAAACAGCAAGCTGCATAAGGTTTAGAACAGAGTTAGTGATTTCAAGGCATTCTTGGCTCTTTGGCAAGAAGACTCATTCAAAGGAAGAGATTGTGAATTGCATCATAGCAAGACTTTAAAGTCTATGGGTTGGATATTTTCCCTTACCTTAACATCCTGTCATAGGGTTCACTAGGGTGAAGGGGAAATTTTCCCTTCCTATAATCCTCTCCCCCAGGCCTGTCCCTTGGGAGTCTTGTTTCTCCTTTGCACCCAAACAAGACACTAACACAGCTGCAGGTCTGATTACAATGTCTTCTCCTCCACTGAGTAAGAGTCATGCAAAGTAGTAGGTAAATTCACCTGGGTAATAAAACTACTTTAAGGCCATTAAAAATATAATCAGTCTTCATATATCAGGTTTAGTAGAATGTTGCTTAACTCCTGAATTTGGGTGTCCATCTCCTTCCTCAGATTTGGGAAGTTTTCAGCCATTATTTCTTCATAGAAACGTTTTGTCCCTTTCTCTTTCCTTCTGGAAGTCCCGTGATGCATGTATTGGTCCACTTGCTGATGTCCCGTAAATACCTTAGGCTCTCTTCACTTCTCTTTATTCTTTTTGCTTTTTGCTTCTCTGACTGGATAAATTCAAATGACCTGTCTTCAACTTTGTTGACTCTTTCTTCTGTTTGATCAACTCTGCTATTGAACCCTTCTAGTGAATTTTGCAATTTAGTTATTGTGTTCTTCAGCTCCAGAATTTGTTGGGTTCCTTTTTATAGTTCCCATCTGTTTAATATTCTCATTTTGTTCATACATCCTCTTCCTGATTTTATTTAGTTGTCTATTGGCATTCTCTTGTAGATCATTGAGCTTCTTTATAACTATTATTTTGAATTCTTTGTCAGGTAATTCATAGATCACCCTTTCTTTGGAGTTGGTTTCTGGAGATTTAGTTTGTTCCTTTGATTGGCCCATGTTTCTCTGTTTCCTTGTGTGCCTTTTGACTTTTTGCTGAGTTTTATGCATTTGATAATCACAGCCACCTCTTCCAGTCTTTGCAGGCTGCATAACACAGGGGAAGACCTTCATCAATCAGCCCAGTTATAGATTGTGGGGGCCTCTGCAATCTTTTGTGGGGGGGTGACTTCTCTAGGCTTGTGTGTGTAATTTGCCAATTAGAGAAGTTTGCCAGTTTCTTTTTCAGGCGCTCATAATCTCTTGCTCCCTCTGGTGTCTGTCTGCAGTACTGCAGTTCTCTGGTGGTGCAGCAGAAAGCGACCCCCCTCTCCTTTGTTCTCATTGGCCCCCAGGCATCCAAATTATGTCTGCTCCCCATCAGCACCCCAAATCAGGTGAGATAGAAACCAGTCTCCATGGCAGCCCTCCAAAAAGCTCGCACACAAGACACATGCTCTACTCTCCTTCCTCTCTCCTGAGCATGAAGCTGTGAGTTGGGCACCTTCTGATGGTGGCAAGCCACACCACACCAGCCTCTGTCTGGAGCACTGCAGGCCCTCTGATGCCAGACCATGCCAGTTCCATCAGTACTCAGGTCAGGTGAGACAGAAACCATTCCCTTGGGCAGCCCTCCAAAAGACAGAACCCTGGATGAATTTTCCTCTCTTCTCTTTCCCCTGCTCCCCACGATGGAGAAACCATGAGCAGGGGCTGAGCTGTGCTCACTTTGGGGAAGGGTGGTCGCGGGTAAAGTGGAAGGGCTCTTCTCACTCGTTTCAGGGTGGATGTTCTGAGCTTTGCCCTCATCTAGGGTACTGCAACTTGTTGACTGGCTTCTGAAGTTCTCACAAAGGTGTTTTGGTCCATATGTTGCTGTTAAGTCGGTGTCTCTGTGGGGGAAAGAGAGCTGAGACTTTGTACTCCATCTTGCAGATGTCTCCCTCAGAATGTTGCTTAACTCATGATCTGAGTTTCAGTATCATATGATGAATGATTTTGAAGGAACAATGATGAAAATCAGCAATGGAAACTTGCAAGAATGTTAAAAGCAATAATATGGTCAGACAACACTAAAATCTGAAAAGTAAAGTCGGGACCAGAGAAGACAAAATACGTTATTGTTCATAAGAAACATTTTCTTGAGAGCCTGGCAGAATTATAATCAGGAAACTTGTTGAGAGCCTGCCCTTCATACTCAGCAAATATTTAACGGCCATCTGCTATGTGCTGATCACTGCTGTAGGCGCCGAAAGGCACTGACTTTGTGGAACTCATGTTGTGGCTGGAAAACAGATAACTCTTGCTTTTAATATGAGCTGATCAGAATGTAAGGGCGAAAAAGATATGGTCCCTAGCCCTGAACGAATCTAGTCCACTGACTATACAGAGGGGTGAGCACATAGTTGCAACACCACGTGACTTAGGCTGTCTTAGAGTAAAGCATAATTGTCGAAGATCTGCAAACGAAGGGAGGCTGAAACAGCTGCATCAAGAAAGAGGCACCTGAGTGGCCTTGATCAGGGAACTCTCATATTCATAAAACGTCTACTAAAAGTCCTCAAAAGTCAAAGGAAAGGGGGTGTTCGTAAAGCAAGGAGCACAGCAGGGTGTGATTACAGTCACTAGACCCAGATTAGAAGCTACGGTGGGGCAGTGAGGGAGAGGTTTACCACAGACCTTACGTGGACACAACCAGAAACTAGGTTAGGGCTTTACAAACTCAGGGAAATTTTTGCCACCCACTGTAATTGAATTTCTAATGATCATTCACATTATTAAGCACGGATGTAACAGACACTGCGTTGCTGGTTTCCACACCGAGTCCTTCCTCCTCAGCACCCTGAGCAGGTGCCAGGTTCCCTTCACTGTACAGGGAGACACTGAGGTGTGGACAGCTAAGTAACTTACTCACTCAGCTAGTGAGGGAAAGATGTGGGACTTACCTGATTCCACAGCCTGTTCTTAACCACTGTGACTATTATGGACACACTTAGCTCCAAGAACGGAAAACCTGAAAGTGACCTAAGTTTACTTTTCTCACATAAGAAGTCGAGAGGGGTTAGTCTAGGGCTTTTGTCTTAAGCCTGTCTTCAAGGAACCAGGTTCCTTTCTTTCCCTACTGTCTGTAATCTGTGCCTCTGACCTGACACCAAGTCACAAAATGGCTGCTATGTCCCAAGGCATCAGATCCACATTCCAGGCCAAAAAAAAAGAGGGAAGGAGCAAAAGCCAAAGCCCTTTCTATCCAAGAAGGCAGCCCTCCTCAGAAATTCCAGCCTACATTTCATTGGCCAATAGCAGCAAAGGCTAGGAATTTGAAAGTCTTGTTTTCCACCCCTTGTCGACACAAATAATCCATAATCAATCTATAAATCAATATTAGGGTAAGTTTATTATGAGCCAGATCTGAGGACTATTGTCCAGGGCCTTCCTTCCCTGAGGAAGGGAAGGCACCAAAGAAGTGGGGTGTACAGAGTGGTTATATACCGTCTTGGAACAAAGAGCATACATCACATATGACAGGAATGTCCCTTTTACAACCTTCATGAGACTGCTTTGCTGGCACAGCAGGTCAGTGAACACAGCAAGTTGGTGGTCACAAGGTGAGTGGTCACAGGTGAGCACAGAAGGTCAGTAATGAATCCTTAGTTTAGGGAGAGATGCTTATCCTGAAGGAAATGCTGATATGGGGGAGGTTGCATCCCCACTTTTAGGGGCATCATTCTTGTCTTTGGGACATAGTAAATGCTTAAAGCAGATACACAAGGCATACTCTACAGGCCACATCAGGCCCTTTTGGAAAAACAAGTTCAGGCTGAATTAGTTTTACACCAAATGGCTTCCTCATGTACTCCAATACAGCCCATTGCTTGTCATTTATTTATCACCCTTATAGTGTAAAAGGCAGGGGAGCGTGAGTGGGGTGGCTATTGAGTGAACCCACTTAAATAGCATATGTACAAACAACCTACACCCTCCCTCTGCTCAGTTACCTGCCTGATCAAGTCCCAGGTACTACGCCTAGCGTAGAGGGCTCCCACGACCTAGTCCTTTCTTTTCCATCTTCTATCTCTGTTCTCTTCACCCAAACGTGGCTTTTTGCTCTTCCCCAACATGTTCTTCCCTTTCAAGCCTCCACACTCCCACTGAAGCTCAACATGCTCCCCGGTGCCACCCAGCAGTGCAGTCAGGACGCCTGCATTCTGCCACTGAATGTGTATTAGTGCTAGAACAGACTGGGTCACGAGAGAACCATAACTATACGTTAAACACAGAGAACTTGTACTTCCCTTCCTCAACAATCTTGGTCAAGTGCCACGAGGGAAGGCTCCAGTGTCTTCAATGACCTGGGCTCCTTCCGTTTTGTGGCTCTGCCGTCTTCCACATGTGCTCTCTGACTCATTCAATCTTGACCACCCCCGAACAGCACGTAGTAGACACAACCAAATGCAACGGACTGAAAGGGGGGGCAAAGCCAAGGGAATGATCTCCGGTCCTACCTACACTGTGAGGGGCTTTTCCGTTTTTCACCTTTTACTCCATGTTAGTTCTACCTGAGTTCCACTAGACGGCAGCAGGTACACACATTAAGTATACCAACGTGCAAATCCTTTCCTAAAAGCTCAGAGCAAATTCGGAAGGAACCTGAACTACAGATCCCAGCAAGCACTATCAAGCACCTGACTGGTCTGCACACAGGTCTCCCTTTGTTTCTCCCACACTGACCTGGCACACGCCGTCCACCTGCTGCTCTAAAGTAACATTTCCTGATATTTTCAAAATGAAGCTTTAAATGGACTGGGAAAAAGAGAGGTTTAATTTTTAGATGTTGCTTTGTTCTGCATGTTACTTATTTCAGGATTGATCTTAGCGGTTAGATCAGGATAAGGATGCGTTTTCAACAAGTTTGGAACTCTGGTATATTAGTAGGTTTTTCAAAATAGCCAAAGAAGAGAGGATTTTACAGTGTCTTAAGTGAACATTTTCCTTCGTCGCTTGTGGAGCTAGAGTTCCTGAAAATGCTCTGTGTCTCTGCTAATCAAAAATTAACATTTCGATTGCCGTGTTTAGAGTAAGAAAGCCATCATGTGAGCTTTTCACATTGGATTTACTGAGAGTGGCCTTGTTTTACCATTTCAGGACATTTGCACTCATTATCCCCCACACTCCGTTTTAGTGTGGTAGCGCAGTTTATCTCACGGTAAGGCTTCGGCCCCAGAACCCGGCCCAGACAGGCAGGGCGGCCGACGGGCGCGGCGTCCCGCGCGGGCTGCTCCGCGCTCCGCGCTCGGCGTCACAGGCGCCGGGGGACAGCGCGTCGCCGCCGCGCTCAGGCCGGGCGCAGATGACGGGCCGCCCCTCCTTTCCGGAGTCCATACTGACGACAGCTCAGCTCCTCCCGTGTTTAAGGTGAAGCTCCTGCGAGAAGGGGAAACCGTGCACGTGGCGGCCGCGGCGGAGACCTCCGGCAGCCCACTCGGGGGCTCGGCCGTGGGCGCGGAGGGCGGCGCTGGGGCGGAGACGAGCGGCCGGGGAGGCCGGAAGGGCCGGC